GTCTCAAAAGAAAGGGGAGAGTTGTGGAGCTCAATCTCTCAGATTTTTTCAATTTGATTGAAAAAATACTACTTGGAAGACTACGCTCAATGGAAGAACTTGATCAACTGTTTAAGCTAATGAACGACACATTTCCAACAAAAGTTTCAAAATTGTTGTTTGGAGAAGCTGCGGCGAACAAATTTGAAAAGAAAGCAAGCAACACAGAATACGTCTTCTGGCTAAGTCGTTTCGACCACATGGACTATGTCTATGTGAAAAGTGGAAATTCTGTCGTAAACTTTAATAGTTTACTCGTTATTGAAACTCTGAAGAAGATTGTGCAAATTTGCTTCACAAATCTGGAGAAGGACATTGGATGTTACATTGACTTCTTTTCAAAATTTTCAAATTTGTTGACAAGCGTTGTCACATATTTTCCAATGATTGTACAATTGTCATCATACAAGGAACTTGAGATCAAGATATACCACAACATGGGACAAAACGAATTTCGTGATAAGGCTCCTCCGATATTTTACTTGGTCAATGATTGGATCATGCCAATTTCTCTAACTCCAAGAGTTAAAAAGAAAAAAGAAACGGAAGGACTCGCTTATCCATGGGGACAAACAATTCTTCGCGCTACAGACCAACGAGGACAAGAATGGATAAAGTACCTCGTAAAAGACCCGTTTTCACTTTACGGAGTGGCATTTGATGAAGTTGACATTTTTCGTGTTTTGAAATAAAAATCAATTTGAATTGTATTTTGCATTTCGTTTCAAGAATCTCATTTTAAGAATATATACTGCATACATCTCTCGTCACAGTTCATTCTTCATTTGACTGTCAAGATGGATAGTGCTGCTAAATCATTCTTTTGTCATCCACTAATGTTTATTTTTGGAGTCATAACGTATATCTGGATGACGATATACATGTGCGCGTTTGTCGTCTATAGTCACTTATTCATTCTGTACTTACAACAACAGAGGAATATTTCATTGTGTAACGCAACGTTTTTCTTCAACGAAACGTTTTTAAAAAGTTAGTCATCGTTCAGCTATCGGACAGTAAGCATCTCAAAATGGATCCGCTCACGAGCCGAGACGTATTCCAAAATATTGGAAACCAGATAAAAAAACGAAAAATAAAAAAGATCACATGGACACGAAAAAACCAAAATTGGTGCAACGAGCCATGGAGGACTTACAAAAACTCAAATTGACTCAAACCCCTATATGGATTACTACTGGAGGGGTGTTGCAGTTATACATGAAAACTGGCCGATACGGTTTGGATAAAGACGAACATCCAACGTTCATTCCAAAAATAAGTTTTGTGCTAGTGAACGACACTGGTAGCCTAGAATTTGACAAAAAACAGTTATTACATTTATCAACCAATCTACTAAAAGCCGCTATGTTGGACCCTGAACTGGATATAACTGAATATAAGACAGCCGTAGACAAGATTTTGAGGGGAGGAAAGCATCATCTAATGAGCCATCAAACAATGGTGCTACGTTTTGGCGACCGTCGAGAAGTGCCATTAGACGGAGCTCAAGCCGTGCTCAAAAATATGTTCAACATGTATAATCAACGTATCCAGAAACAACCTGCTGAGAGCATGGCTACAGTGGGACCACCCGCTGAGAGCATGGGTACAAAAGCACCCGCTGAGAGCATGGGTACAAAAGCACCCGCTAAGAGGTTGGCTAAATATAAAAAAGCACCCGCTGAGAGCATGGGTACAAAAGCATCCGCTGAGAGGATGGCTAAATATAAAAAGGTACAGAGGATGCGCCAGTATAAAAAAAAGGCACACGACGAACGTCGGGCTCAGTCGTGCTCCAGTAACCACAATGAGTAGACTGGAACAAGAACATAATCATGGCGCCTGCTGCAAAAAAATAAAGACAAGATACAGTACCGACATGGACCGTCTCAACCAAAGAATTAAGTCTTTCATTGGAACGGAATTTCCCCATCCACCTAATGTACTCGCAGAAGCTGGTTTTTATTACCTGGAGTGTAAAGAACTATGCATGACTTTTTGCTGTGGACTACTTGTTGACGGGTGGATGCCTGAAGACGATCCATTATTCGAACACGCTTTACACTCTGAGGATTGTAACTATATAAAAAGGAAGACAAGGAAATTGAAAATAATTCAAAACGTCACTCAGCCGACTGTTATCGCACGAACGGATTCTCTTTGCAAAGTGTGTAAAATCAACGAAGCAAATTACGTGAACATACCGTGTAGTCATTTAGCTACCTGTGCAGAATGTGTAAAGAAACAAGAAGAAGGATGTGTAATTTGTAAACACTCCATAAGTTGTTTTTTAAATATTTTTATATAAATTGACATTATGGATTCTACGGAGGCTGTTGACATGGATTCTGAAGACCAGCCCATTGTCAAAGATCCTCAACACAATCTCCTATTTCCCTTAACAATTAACAGATATGAAGCAATTTCGCATCCAGACATGATCCTCCTTCCCTCAAGATTAAAATCTTTTGAAGGAAAAATTTCAAAAGCCAAGCAAACGCCACAACAACTTGCTGAAGCTGGTTTTTATTGCGATATCGATGGTGGATGTATCTGTTATTATTGTGGTATTGGTATTTATAAGTGGAAGCCAGAAGACGATCCATGGGTCGAACACGCTTTACTTGCCTCTCATTGTGGATTTTTAAACTTGTGGAAAAGTGAATTGAAATTTAAAATCGGAGAAACTCCTCCTCCTGTTGAGACCATTGTTGAACCAATAGACATTTATCTATGTAAAATTTGTCAAACAAACGTAGCAAATCACGTGTACTTGCCGTGTCGTCATTTGGTTAGTTGTTTAAAATGTGCAACTACACAAGATAATTGTCCAATTTGTCGTGAAAAAATAATTTGGTTTCTTAAAATAATCTTATAAGAAATTTATAAATAGACAAAAGGTACAAAAACCTTTGTATTGTTAACAAGAGGTCAATGGCCTTCATTGTTTAGAAAGTCCTTATTGTTAAAATTAGAAACCTTTGTATTGTTAAAATTGGAAATCTATAAATAAACATAGTCCAAATCGTCAAACGTTTTTGTGCGAGTATAAAAGTAGCCGCAGAGCTCAAATTTTTGTCAATCGTGTACCGGCATCATCATGGAGAACATCAAAGGACAAATTTTACCCTGCAATACAGGTGTGCTCGAGTCTTTTGTAAAGAGTAATGCTTTCAAAGATTCGCCCTTTGGACCTGTTCACTTTCTTGTGGATCGTGTTGTTATACGGAACAATCTTGGACAAATTGAAATTGAAAAAGAGAAAGTTTTACACTTGGCCCTGAATTTACTGGCAATTGCTCGTGATACACCAACACTTCAAGACCATCTCGGTTATTTTGTGAGTGAGTGTCAAAGCTTGGTTGAAGATCACAACAATTTCAAAATCAAAAAAGGTGTTTATGCCAACAAACCGGATTTACCTCAACAATATTGCCCGAAATCGTTTTTGTTTTCAAAGTGGGGTGAAGTTTCAAAATACCAGCAAAACGTTTCTCCACCAATTTCAAAAGAGGAGAAAAAAATCAAACACAAGTTCATTGCTGCTCGACTGCTCGTCATTGGCGATATTGCCGGCTATCGAGAACACAGGGGCTGCCCTTCAACTATCTGTACCGAAGACGTTGCTGGGCGGGTTTGTGACGTTTGCTACCATATGCCAGAGGCTCACTCAGCGTGGGAGGAGCCAGCTCATATGCCAGAGGCATAACCTATCTCTGATATATATGCCGAAGGCATAACATATGCGAAGCATAGCCTATCTACGATATATATATATGCCAGAGGCATAGGCGTGTCTACCCCTCCCCCTTTTCGTTGATCATTTGTGTCAGGATGGCGAGTTCAACATTGTTTGACTGCGACGAAGCACTAAATCTATTTGACGACTTAATTCAACAACCAAGTGACGAGCCAAATAGTAAAAAACGAAAATATTCACCTCGGAAAGGCTCATACTCTATGAAGACCGAAGTTATTCAAGGAAGTACGTTCATCACAATCAGTCAAGTATTTGGTGATGCAGAAAACAAGATTCATATTCAACCGTCAAGCGTACCTCTTCTTTTGAAAAATTTGATGGATTTTTCGGTCATTGCCTACCGTAAATCTCTATTGGGCCAGGTCGGACATGATGGAGTCGTCCCCAATGAAAAAAGTTCGAATAGGACCCGCAATCCTGTTCTACATTGAAGACGAGTATGAAATTGAGCAACAGCGCAAACAATTCAAAAAAATCTTGACAAATCGTTTTACAAGATTTTGTGCTTGGTGTAGAAAAATGTTTAAAAGACGTTAAAATTACAAATTTACAATTTATTTATTCAAATTTTTATAAACTGTACAGTTTTCTGGAAATAAACTAGATCGTATCCTTAACTTGTCATCCTGTGTTTGGCTCAAGTCTATTACTAAATATCCATACGGCAGTTTCATAACATCAGTTAGCGCATATTGTAAAATTGGGTGATTTCGTCCGCCATTCATTTGCCGACCTAATTTGCTAACAAAAGTTGTATCTCGTGGATTTTTTAGAGCAACAATATATTTTAAATTCAAAGTAATACTTCTAGTTTTTCCCTTTTCAAAAAAGTTTTGAGTTAAGAAAATTATTGAGACATTATTGTGATGGGAATAAACACTAAAGGCTTTCACCATTTCATCTGAACGAGAAATTTCAGTCATTAAGTCATCTAAAACTAAAATTAGCGCCTCTCCATCATCATTAATCACATTGGGCAGTCCTTTTTCAAATTCAATATGTGGTATATCCCCTCGAATCTGCTCAAATAACTTGGGCTGATACTCCTGATAACAGTACTTCACATTATTTACTGGCGGATCCAACAGCTCCATGCGGCGAGAAATCAGCTTTGCAGTCAAGGTACTTTTTCCTGATTGAGTTCCCCCAACGATCGCCATTGTAAAAGGAGTTTTTAGCGTAATGTCAATGTCCCCCTCCATCATACATACAAGGGAATATCTTTATGTCCGTGTGCTAACGTAGTCAAATGATCAATGACACAACGTTTCGTATCAAAGCCATTTAGACCCTTCTTTATAGCTGCACTCGTTCGAAGCACATGTTTCCGGCTTAGAATTGATTTAATCACCACACTGGTTTGAATATTTTCGTCCAATACTTTCCAATATTGGTCAAACGTGATTTGATTGGCGATTGCGGCTTTCTTGATCCCCTTGGCCACTTTTTTGGTATATATGGTCATCTTTCCGTCTTCAATTGAAAGTGCTTGAGCTCCGTACATTTTTGGTTTTGATGCCGCAAATCGAAAGATTACACTTTTGGGCATTTCATCCTTCATCTTGCCGAGGCGCTTCTTGTTTTCTTGATTATTTAAGTGAGAATGCATTCCAGCATAGTCGCTCAAATCAAAACGTTCCTTGTTCTCCACCATGTCTTGGTAAAAATCCTGAGTTTCCACGTGGTAGACTAAGGAATCCGTGTCACCGTAGAGAACTCTGGCCTTGTCGCCGTACTTTTCCTTCATGTAATCATAGTGGAACTCATACATGAAACACTTTGAAATTTCTAGAATAGAGATTCCAACAGCAACTGGTTTATCCAACAGCACTTGAGTCACTTTCTTCACACCCAGATGCACTTTATCGTTAATGCTAATTATTCGCTGATAAGTGGGTTTGTTGACAATCTTCCTGAGCTGCCTTTCTGTGGTGACGAGGGAAATTGACGTTCGTTTTCTTTTCTGTTCTATTGTTTTTCCGAATGAAGAATTGTTAAGCTAAAAGGGCAAAAAGAATGTATAAGTATGACAGTCAACATAGTTAAGATGCGCAGTAGTAATAGGTTACTTACCAACTTGAAAAAGTCTTTTTCAAAGTCTGTGATTGCCTTCTTCCTCATTTCCGTGTTGGACAAAATAAACGGTTTCATCCAAGCCCTCTGCGTAAACTTGACCGCACGATGAACTTGCGTAATGACAAGTCCAAACTTGATGTACATCTTCAAGTTACGATAGTGTGTCACATAGTGCTGTTTGGGCAGCAGGTCAGCTACAAGTTTTGCGTTCTTGAACATAGATTCAGGTACTTGGAAATCTTGCATCTGCTGATGCTGATGTGGGGCCAGTTCGTCCTTATTCACACATCTCTTGGTTGGGGCTGGCGGGTAGTCGTTTAGCTTGTTATGAATCTCTGGCGGTATCTCAAGATTCACTTCGAAGAAGTAACCAGTCTCTGCATCGTCTTGCAGAGAATTTACGAAGGCGTTTGGATTGGCCCGTACTCTGCTCAGCTCATATTCAGTTAACCACTTGTAGTCTTTTTCAGGAAGAGCAGAACACATTGCTGATCCGTAAAGGTTATTAATATCGAGGAACGAAATGTAACTGTCGGTCTTTGTCTCATCGTACTTCTCTCCCATATACTTGTTATTCGCCTGGGCTGCGCGAATTCCACCAACGCCACACACACCACCTCGAAGTGCTGTTTCGAACCAACAATGCATTGTAACATCGACATAGTCCAGCTTGGCTTTCCCCATCTTGCAGCATGCGTCATACGCGATCATTGGCAGACTAAAATAGTTAGCCAAGTCCAAGTTGTAAGAGTCCCAGAGAATTTCTCTGCTCCTCTCCATACAATCAGCTAGCAACGTCACGTCCAGAAGTACGTACAAATTATGCCAATCACCAAGATTTTGCACGTCGAAACTCTCACAGACTTGTTTAGCATGATCATATACTTTCTGATCAAGTGGCTGGTCATTCAGATCGTTGTAAAACTCCTTGATTGGCGGAAGTTGGTTCTCTTCAAAATTCGCAGGCGATTGCATATGTGTATATGGATAGGCACCTTTCTGTAGCATCAAGTCTACATTGATTTGTCGCCCCAACTCTTGAATTTCTTGATCAGTTCCATCTCGATTGTACAGTTTCAATATATTTTCTGCTTTGCAGAAAATCTCCTTGGTAAGTTTGAAATCATCCGTGTTGTTCTTCTTTAAAGTGTTTGTAAGATTTTCTAACGAGGAACTCAAGAATGAAAACGAGTCACAAAATCTAATTTGTTTATTCACTGTAAACGACATAAACTTTTCTGAAGAACACGGTATTATTGTCGCCTCCATCGTCTCGTCGAATGCTTGCACAAGGAAGTGGGAATCGTAAGACTTGAGATTGTGAATGAAACATGGAGATATCGTGCTGATTGATGCCTCCAAGTTGCACCGATTGTGAGCAAGGGCAACGAACTTTCCCGAACAGTGATCATGGTGGCATACAGCCATGTTTGGTCTGTCTTTAAACTCCTTGGACATTTCTTCTTGGCTTAGTTTCTTAAACTTTTCTCCACAAAAGTAACATGGATCAAGTTTAGTTGGGTCTTCACGGATTTGTTTCGTAAGACTATCTCTCAGTTGAGGATTGATAATCATGGATTTAGAACTTTGTTGCTGAAGTAGTTGTATGACGTCTCGTCGTAACTTGTGGTCTTGTAGTATTTCATCAAAAAATCTCTTGGCAACATTTTCTTCTTCGTCATCCGTACGGTAGACACTCCACTTAACTGCCTTTCCTTGCCAATCAACACACACCCAAGCGTAGCCGCACGGAATATGATTTGATTCTTCCACTTCTAGTCCGTTAGCGTTCCGTTTTCTTGTCTTTGGTTTGACAAAGGCCTCGAAATCTCCGTAATAGCGATAGGGAGTGCGCACCATACGATGATACTGGTTGAAAAAGTAGTAGGGTTCTTCGGGCACGTCGGTTTTCTAAAGTTTCATTTGATAACAGAATTCGCGATGGTCCATGGCAGACTCGAGTGTAGTGAAGCTATTTAGACAATTACGGCAAGGATGTTTATAATGAGTACCAGTCCTTAGAAACGATGATAATTTTCTGATTAGGTTGAAATGCGAATTGTTTCCATCTTCGGTTTCCTCAATCACAAGCAGTAAGTCAATTTCGATTAAGTTGGATTTCCTCACGGATTCGTTACTCTTCTGGATTCTGTCTTTGAGTTCAAATTCCGCTATTCTCTGAGACATGTACAGTGGAAATGTAGAATTTCTGATGGCGCGGTGCACTGACTTTTGTTGAAGCCTAGTCAAGGCACAAAGTGGCTTATCGCGATATTTGAAATATTCTGATCTAGCTGCATCGGATCCGAAGACACTTAGAGCAATCCCAGGGTTTTGTTCTTCAAATTTAGGAAATTGGCTTAACGTCATTGGAAAGACAAGACCATCAAAGTTTAGTTTTTTCTCCTTTAATACTTTTTTGTATTCTTCGACTTTTTCATCGTATCTACAACTGTGGGCACCCCATTTCTTCTTGAATCCACACACTTCCTCATGTGCTGAACACGAATACATAAAGCACCTAAAGTCATCTTGTCCATTTACACGATTGTTAATATTAAGCAGTACACTTTTGTCTTTATATTGTAGCAAATTATTGTTGGGTATATAGGCTCCTGCTCTGAATGGCGCAAATGGAGAAATACTGAATTGAAGTTTGGAAATAAAATCTAAAATCCACCCACTTCCCTTGTGAATAAAATCGTTACAACTTTCAATCAACTTGAAGGCGATGCTGTTAATGATTTCAGGAATATAATGGCTCTGGAGGATAGTATGTGGATAACCATGAAAAACTGGATCCGGTTTTTCTTAGTGAGGCAAATACCTGACAACGAAAAAAATTTGCTAAGTATGCATTTACCCCACCCAAAAAAAGTGACATAAGTCGATTTCTCGGCCATTTCTTAACCGATTTTGATGAAATTTTGCACAGATCATTGTTACGTAATTTAGAATGTGTTAGTCGACTTGGCGAATTTTTGATTTTTACCCAAGTTATGTGCCAAAATGTGCGAAAATTTTCCCCTGAAAACATATTTATTTTTATGATTCATAAGTGGTGTATCTCAGCATGCTCGCTTATTGAAAATATTTTAGTCAAAGTCATTCCGGATATTTTAGGCGCAAAATGACCTAAATCGGTTGAGAAATATCGGCGTTATTCAAGTTTGAAAATCAAAAATTTAATAAAAATATTCAGGGTGCCGATAATAACGGCGGTTGTGCAGTAAAAATAATGTCTTTGACAACCAATTACAAGTTTTAAATAAACAAGGCCCCAAAAAATGGGAAATCTTAGTGAGTCAGCGCAATCACAGTTAATAAATAAAATTAGATTGAATAACTTTTGCATCACCGCTCTCGGGATAATTTTTACTGGGTCCACTGTAAATTTAGTTTTGCATACGCATGAACTCTTGCATTAATTGAGATTACAAGATGACGTTTTTACTATTGAACGAGAAGTTGGCTAAATTAATCGATATGAAATATAATTGTGAACTGCGAATTTTAAATTTAGAAAGAGTTGAAAGTCTACAATTATAAATAAATATAAATATATAAATTTGGATATCCTAATAATTCCTATTCTGATGAAATCTCCAGACCCTTTGCAGGGGGGGGGGCAATTATTCTAAATGATTAATTAATGCTTCCAGGAAAAATGATACCGAGAGTGGTGATGAAAAAATTATTCAATCTAATTTTATTTATTAACTGTGATTGCGCTGACTCACTAAGATTTCCCATTTCTTGGGGCCTTGTTTATGTATGTTTCATTAGATCACTTCGTTGCTGCTCAATCTCCTCAAAATCTACTACATCTGCTGCTAAATATGGTCGGTGAAAGTGGGCGTGCATCTCGGTAGCTATCTTCACACACTTGTGTTCATCTAACTCTGCCTGCACGATGGATCCTAGTTCACGAACGATTAGCCTAAACACATTGGCTACGTCGGTGTAAGTGTGGCTGGCAGTGTCCAAGGTATAAACTCGTACGGTATTTAATATAGTGTTAGAAAGGCGAAGTCGGTTGTCCAGACCTTCACCTTCCTGGGTAAAGTAGAGCGGTTCGGCTGCCGTTGATCCATGATGTTGTTGGTAATGTGCATCCAATGCTCCTTTGTAGGTGAAGACTTCCCCGTATACTTTGCACGTACCCGTCCTGTAATCCAGTCTGGGTTGTTTTTGAGCGAGCGATGGTGAAGGGGCGATAGGCGGCGGCGAATCTTCAAAGTCAGCCAATATAATGGTACATTTACTGGGGCAATGTGATTCAGAACAGAACGTGCACTTTTCACTGTGATGGTGGTTACAGTTACTACATAATTTAAAAATATCGGGATATGGGGCAGGAAGAGAATTTTCAAAGTCGTCCAGTATATAGTTACAAACACTAGGGCAGTGCTTTTCTGAACAAAACGTACAGTTTTCAGTATGTTGTTGATTGCAAGATGTGCAAAGTTGGACGGTGCATACATTTGCACAATGAAGTGCGGCACAAGTTTCACAGTGAATAATGTGAAACCCGCCACAAGCATCCAAAAACTCTCCCAGGAATCCATGTTGCTGCAATAAAGTCTGAAGCTTGACTGACCCCTTTCTTGCTTGGTGTCGAGGTGCTTGGAATTTCTAGCGAATTCAGTTGCTCCAAAATTCTAAGAATTCAGCCGAGTACGTTTCCCCTAAATTCTTGGAAAAGGGTCGGAGTAGAAATAAAGTGCACAATTCTTGGAAAATGGTTGGGGTAGAAATAAAGTGCACAATTCTTTGAAAATGGTTGGGGTAGAAATAAAGTGCACAATTCTTGGAAAATGGTTATGGTAGAATAAAGTGCCCAATTCTTGGAAAATGGTTATGGTAGAATAAAGTGCCCAATTCTTGGAAAATGGTTATGGTAGAATAAAGTGCACAATTCTTGGAAGTCATAAATATGGCTTTATTCAAATTCCTTCATGCAAGAAAAGTGACCCTAAAACAGGTAGAATCTATAAATGGAATTCTTGGAAAATGACCCTTTTTTCATGCGGTCAAACATTGACTCCCCAACTCTCGGAAATGCAAATAAGGGTTTTATACTCTAAGTTAGACCTGGGAGCGTGCAAATGCAACGCTTTTGGGGGTGTAACACCATTTTGAAATTTTCCCTGCAACCACTATGTTGCTTCTCGGGCTCTTGATTCGAGCACGAACGCTTTTCTTTCGTCTCGCGTCACCCTTCCCAATGTGGAAATTTCGTGTACGTATGTCTTCAAATTTTTCTGTGTAGATACTAAAATCCGTTCAAAAATAACTCAAAGCCAACATTTCTTTTTTACGAACTACGACTTTCTTTGTGATATGCATGCCAATCACAAAGATTTTCTATTTATCCCTGTAACCTTTATTGCTGCATATTTTCGTGATTTCTTGCCTAAGTATTACTCTGGCTGCGGTCATGCCGCCTTTATTTTCGTTGACACGACGCGAAATATACTTGCTTATTACGATTCTAACTATATCGACGCCGACCGACACATTTATGACCGTGCAATTTACTATGCTGCTGAACAAATAGGAAAAGTTTGGGGGAGAAAATTTACTGTTCGTGACTCTACGGATCCCCATTATTACGAACAAATTAAGGGCAAGCGTGGTGGCATAACATTAAAAAAGCATGACAATGACCTCTGCGACTTGTTCCCTTACATGACGGCGGGTCGGGGCGACTGCGCTTTCTCTGTGGCTGCTAGTGCTTGTCTTTTGTATTCTTCATCTCCACGAGAAGTCTCTGATATTGTTAGCTTAATAAAGCACAACAGACGAGTATCTTTAGACCTTGGTCGATTGGATGAGACGTATACCACTCACACTTCTGTATATCACTGGACCGTGTCTTTCATGCATTTAATGCGTTGCACTATTTACGATGTAAATTCCATCTTTCAGGATCAAAGCTATTGGCATATGCTCCACATTTTTGGTTATGACGATGACGGTCTTTGCAACTGAGCTTACGTCCGAGACTTTTGCAAAAAAGTTCGTAAAAATCAAAAAAAAACTTTAGCTAAGGTTCAAAAGTATAAATGTATGCGTAGCAAAGAGGAGTGCTTGGCCCGCTTAAATAATAAAGCTAAAAAGCGAGCACTTGAGGGAATTGACCCCAGGCCAATTTCTTCTCCAATTAAACGCGACCCCAACGAACCGGTTTATTTACGGTTAGAACGGGATCGCCTCAACGCTGACTTTTTTGCCTCTCACCCTAATAAACGGGTTAAAATTGAATTGGCTTAATTTTTTTATTCTCTTTTTGCGATCGCGAATTCTACTTCTTCGCATTATTTATTAGGTAAAAATATTCGAGTGTAACTTTACACACTATTATTATTTTAATATTAATAATTTTTAAATACATTTTTACACACTATTATTATTTTAATAATTTTTAAATAATTTTTTTTTAATTAAAAATCTTACTTTATTATTATTATGCGTCCTACTTTAATTTGTAAATTATTTTATGTAAAATTTTCGAGTGTTATGAAAAATTGTAATTTATGCGTCTCACATAAGGTTTATAATTTTGTACATTTTAACTTGTGTGTTTTTCTTAAAAAATATAAAAACTTGTATATTTGTATTTCACTTGTCCTTCACGTGCTCTATATTCATATACATATGCATACACTCATATATACATGTACCTGCAAGATCATATATACATGGGCTCGTCCTCGACCTTTTCTATTATTAGCCATATATAGCGTGGGATATACCTATATCCGAACCACTATAACGCGTGGAGCAGGATTTCTAGCCCTATACTCAACCGGATATACCTATATCCGGCTGGGTATAGCGTTTGGAGTAAGTTTCCCCCCTATGTATACTACTGATGTAATTAATTTTGCTGGGATATTTTTTTGCTAATTTTTTCATGTAAGCGTTTGTCATCACAATTTTATAGCCGTATTATCATCAAAATAATCAAAGTTGGCTGGTAAATAAAAATAGTTTTGTAAATTTGGTAACAATTTCCAGATGAGATTTGACAGTGAGAATTAAACAAGTTGAGAATTTGCCGTATTACGAACTTTACAAATATATTTATTTACATATACTCATTAAATTGTGATAATTATGATGACATTCTTCACCCACACATAAAAAAATGAAATTTGCCACAGTTTGACGCAAATTTTTACATTTTACAAAAAATTAATACCGTAAATACACTAAAGATACGCAAGCAGTTTGTGGGGACATTGTATCCGATTTACGGCATTACTTCCAAAGGAGGAGGCACCCTTCTTATGGGAAAACTGCCTGCCGTCGAATTTTCTGAATTTTTGATATGTTGTAGACTTCGATGTGCTGAACAAAAGTCTCCATACCTCCGACCCCAGATTTTCACTGGTTTGACCTCCAACCGAGGTCAAAGGTCAATAGAACTTGGCCATAAATAAAAACATGCAAGATTTTGAAAATTTCTTGTGACTTATGTTGTTGATGGATTTTCAAAATTCCAAATGTTTTTGAAGCCTTGGACCGTTGGGCGAAATATATATTCCCAGATTTTTTAAATTCGACCACACCCCCCGGATATTGAGGTCATAAGGTCAACAAGCGAGATACATTTTTCCAACTAGTTATTTCAGTTTAAAATGGATGTATAATGGCTCGGTTACCAATTTTTGGCGAAATCACGGCGAATTGTAGGGTCATCAAAGGAGAGCTCAGTAGGTCACACCCCTCTAATATGGGCCGTGGTGGGTGTGGTCGAAAGTGGAAACAAATGAGTAAAATCCGTTTCCACCATGGTTTCACAAATTAACCATCCCTATTTAACGTAATTTTGACCGTGTTATCCACCTCAACACAATGACCTTATGTTGTATGACCATGGGGGCAGGGGGTGTGGCTATCAGCGCTTTTGTATCAACTTGATCAATACCTGGCATGCGACATATCATTTTTCTCAGCGTGCCGAGGTGATTACGATGCAATACTTCAAATTTGGAAACCACACCCCCAGTGGGTGTGGTTCCCGGCGACTTTTCCAATCCTTTGCAGATAGGTCATGTAGCATATCATTTTTCTCAGCCAACTGAACAGATTACGATGCAATACTTCAAATTTGGAAACCACACCCCCAGTGGGTGTAGTTCCCGGCGACTTCTACAATCCCTTGCAGATAGCTCATGTAGCATATCATTTTTCTCAGCGGACCGAGGAGATTACGATGCAATACTTCGAATCTGGAAACCACACCCCTTGTGGGTATTGTTCGGCGTGATTTTCAGATCATTCGCATATAAGGCATGTAGCATATCATTTTTCTCAGCGAACTGCATGGATTCTGATTTGATACTTACAATCTCATAACCACACCCCCTGTGTGGGTGTGGTCTTTGGCAGCTTTTCTCGTCCAGTAAATTCGGGCTGTCAATGTGCCAATTGACACGTCGACATATCATAATTGTCATAAATTTCAAATATAACTGACATTTAAAACGTGTCAATGTAAGTATTTGTCAAATTTGGTGACACATTGACATTGACATATTGGATATTTTTGACATTTTCACAAATCTGTCCTTCTGGCAACAATGAGTTAACTATGTGGCGGAAATTTTAGGACCATACTTTTATCCTTTTTTTCCGTTTCAGGGTAAAAATTCATGTGGTATTTAATACGAACGATCTTGTGTAACAAATGACGAAGTCCTTGCATGTGGCAACGCAAAAGCATGGATTGGACTGTCAGCAAGACATTGCGTTGCCACATGCAAGAATTTTCACTCTCAAACGGAAAAAAAGGATAAAAGTATGGTCCTAAAATTTCCGCCACATACAGTATCATGCATATATGATGATACAGTGTTTTCTACAAAATTCAAATTGTTGGTTCTCCAGAACAGCTTATTATTTTAATCTAATTTGTACACCATTTATTCACAGTGGCTATGAGTACATATGTGCAAAATTTTGAGTTAATTGAATGGAAACTGAACTTTCTATGAACATTTGAGTCTCGAAAAACGTAAATTGCATCGTAATCACCTCGGCACGCTGAGAAAAATGATATGTCGCATGCCAGGTATTGATCAAGTTGATACAAAAGCGCTGATAGCCACACCCCCTGCCCCCATGGTCATACAACATAAGGTCATTGTGTTGAGGTGGATAACACGGTCAAAATTACGTTAAATAGGGATGGTTAATTTGTGAAACCATGGTGGAAACGGATTTTACTCATTTGTTTCCACTTTCGACCACACCCACCACGGCCCATATTAGAGGGGTGTGACCTACTGAGCTCTCCTTTGATGACCCTACAATTCGCCGTGATTTCGCCAAAAATTGGTAACCGAGCCATTATACATCCATTTTAAACTGAAATAACTAGTTGGAAAAATGTATCTCGCTTGTTGACCTTATGACCTCAATATCCGGGGGGTGTGGTCGAATTTAAAAAATCTGGGAATATATATTTCGCCCAACGGTCCAAGGCTTCAAAAACATTTGGAATTTTGAAAATCCATCAACAACATAAGTCACAAGAAATTTTCAAAATCTTGCATGT